AAGAGGGGGGGGGGGGGGGGGGGGGGGGCTCAGACAAGCTCTTTGAGTGAGATACATATATATATGGAAACATACAATTTTTTAAAATGAATGAATTTAATAAAGATAATATTGTAATGTAACGTGGATGAGTATATTATTTTTTAAAATTTTTAAATTTTAATAGGACATATTTTGAGCGGGATAGATGACACATATAACATATGAGGTAGATGTGTATTATTTTATTTGCTTCTTGCACAAGTTTTTCCCATGGTGTCTTGATATAAACATGAAAATAGAAGCTTCTTTGGCTTACTGATTGCTTTTAAGCATCTTTAAATTACAAGTAGACAGAGAACAAAGTAAGAGGGCATTTCCCTTTTCTATTAGCAGTGGGATTCTCATTCACTACACCTCCCACTCAATTTCATCTACACCGAACCCCTGTAGCCATTGGACCCAAAATTCGCCTTTCCAATTTCAATGCCGCATCCACCTTTTTTTTTTTCTTAGGAAAAGTTTATTTTTTGGCTCTGAATGCTTTGTGGGTCCCCAACACTAAGTCATCCAACTGTTCCAGATAATCTTGATGATGCTGATTATTATCTGCTTGTTGTATTTCTTGATGATTCATTCTACACTTCAAAAGACGTGGTTAACCAAGGTCAGCTTTAATTCTTCCTACAATTTGTTTGCTGATATGCCTGTGTGAAAACATGCATGTCTGCTTCTACATAATGTTATGGGGACCTGTTACACCTGTAATTGGCCTTGTTTTATAAATCATAATTGGATAGTTAGAGCTTATAGTTTCCTTTGGTATTATGTTCATGAAGCCATTATTTGTATGTAATTACTTGAAAAATTGGTCTTGATATATTCGGCAATATTTGGTTGTAGTGTATATATATATATATATATTTATATATATATATTTTAGACTTACTGCTATGTTTACTTCTCATATTGACTAGCGAAAACTGCAGTTCTTCCATTGTTCTTGTTGATCTGAAAATGTTTACAACGTCTTAATCTTTTTATAATTATAATTAAACTAAAAGTTTGTTATTTAGGTAAAGCTAGCTGCAAAAAAAGTCAAATTAACCATAAGTATCAATTTGCCAATGCGTGATGTATCCTTTCAACCATTGCGCAACCTTAGATTATGATTTTACTATATTTCTCATTGAAAAGAGATTTGAGTAAATCTCATTACGTGGCAGATGTAATAAAAAAATGTGGTGCTTGGTGCCATAAATTGTTTAACTTTGACAAGAGTTCACATGAAGCTACTATGCCCTGGTGTGACTTAAATTGGAATACTTGGTTGTTTTCTCTGCCATCATGCAACTCATGAAACATATTTAGGGAGTCATTTTAACAGATCAAAATATTTTCTGTTCAGAATCAACTAAAGGAGGTGAAGGATTACTGGGAACGTGTAGCTTCAAAATTAGAGGAGATCACATGGCTGAAACCTTTTCCATTACACATCTCTGTCTAATGCCATCAATTTATTTGCTTGTGCTCATATCCTTGTCCAGCAGCTGTTTTGGCTCCAATAAGCCCGATGTTGAAGGTATAGTGCCTGTAGACTTGTCTAGACGCTAGCTTTATCACTGTTTTTTTTGGTGAAGTGAACATATCACGTGAGATATTTCTCAATGATTTGATGCTATGGGCAGTGGCGGATCCAACTGGCGAGCACCCACGGCCGCGCGTGCTGGATCCGTCGGCAGCCATTTTTTATTTTTATTTTGGGTACAACTGATAAATTTTTTAGGTTATATTTCTGATAATTCACTTTCCATTCAAATATTGCTTCCAACCAAGTTGGTTAGTGCTGCCCTTTACATCTTGCAGGTCCCAAGTTTGAATCCTTTATCAGTTAGTTTTTATAGTTCTACAATTTTTACCAAAAAGTAATGGAATGAGGAAGAGGGGATTCGAACTTGGAGCTCTTTTTAGAATTATTAAAAGTTTGACCACTATGCCACTTGTTGAATTGTGACAATGGTTTTAACAAATTTATATATATATAGCGTGTTTTAATGCAATAGTAAAGATTTGAACTCGTGCTTTTTCTTTGAATTATATAAAATTTTGCAACAATGTTATTTGATGAGTATAATTTATTCTTATAATAAAATTATATATGTTCAATTTCAACAAAATAATTGTTATATTTAAATTTTAGATTTTGTTTGATTCCCATTTATTTCTGAATATATTTTTCTCTATTTTATTTTCAACCATATATTCTTCAATAAAATGATATTACACTCAAATTCAAAACTTTTCTTTATTTTTAACCACATATTTTCCATCAAATCACTATTCTAAAATGCATTTTTTGCAAAAAAAGAAAAAAAGAAAAAAAAGGACATCAAACGAGCTCGTAATATTTTATTGGGCCGACGGTTGGTGGTCAACGATTGCCCATGTTGACTCAAAATCCTGGATTCGCCATTGGCTATGGGAGTACTTACCTTCAGTAATCATGAATGTTAATATTAAATCTCATATTATACTATAATACAATATAAGGTCTATGTTTCCGATCAGAAACACATGGCTATATCACGTTTCTTTTTTTGCCAAATGGTTGGTCTTGGCTTCCAGGGAGTGGGGGTGGTGGTTCTATGGTAGCTGGACTGAACCGGCAGGGACTCAAATGTTTTATTAAGAACTGGCTGGTTTTTTAGCAAAAAGAAACCAAACCAGACTGAACAAACCTGTTCTATTTCTGTCTGTTTCAGTTTGCTATGGGGTTTGGATGCCGTACAATAAGAGTTATTCACCAATTCAAACTTTATATTTATATAAAAAGCTAAAGATAATTAAGAAAAAAAGAAGGCAATGGATCTGGTTCTCTTGTTTGCCTTTGAGCCTTGAGAACTTGCCAGTTTTCTAATTAAAAGACCTGAAGTTAAACTTTTATCAATAAACCAGTCAGAACCATCTGGACCATTTCTTCTGGTTCTAGGAATTTTTCCAAAGTCCTATTCCAATAGCCAGTAGCCAACTTTTATTTTTTGCGAATTCTAAAGAATAATGCTTTTGTTACTAACATTTTCAGATTTTGTTCCATGATCCCTAGTTAGTAGAAGTGATCTTAATAACATTCATCATTTTCCACATATCAACTGCTGAGAAAAAATGTGCTGTTAGCTGCCAAAACCAAATAATTGTGTTGTTTGTTGTCCTTGGCATTATCTATATCTGAAATTCAAATTAATGTATTCATGGTGTCTGTAATAAATGAACATTTTTGTTTTGGAACACTACAATACTAAAATTCTAAATATTAGCAGTCTAATCAATATAAAAATAAATTACTAATTATAATCTACGCTTAAAGTTAACCAAAATAAAGAAAAATTGAAAATCATTACCAGAAAGACTGACACGGTATCAATTGTTTTTGGTTATTTTATCATTCTGATGAATGAGCCTTTTTCCTTTTTCATTGATGTTACAGGTGAAGCTTTAGTTGAATTTCGAACAGCTCTGAATGATTCCTCTAGTAAAATTGCGGATTGGAACTATAATTTCGTTAGCCCCTGTTTCAGTTGGTCTCATGTTACATGTAGAAATGGAAACGTGATATCTTTGTTAGTATTAAATTCTCTTCCTCACTCAAATATGTGGTTCCACTTTTTCTGTTTCCCCTATTCCATCATGAAAGGACGGAATGGAACTAAGTCACATCTATCAGCTTTGTGAATCAAGTTCATACAATTTACTGAGTATTATGTTTGTTGATGCAACAACTTGTAGGAGCCTGGCATCTAAAGGATTTTCAGGAACACTTTCACCCGCAATAACCAAGTTAAAATATCTGGTTAGCTTGTAAGTATTATTGATTTTCTTTTTCCTTCTTGCGAAAGACCCTTGTGCTCATTATTCTATCCTTAGCGAATCTTTTAGTTTATTCTTTTTTCGTCTTTAGCCCCTGTTTGGGCCCCATTTTAGGGGTGAAATGGGTTTTTGAATAGTAGTTTTTTAAGAATGTGTGGTTGAAAAATAAGGAAAAGTTTTCGATATATGTGTACAATTATTTTATGGAAGAATCTATGATTGAAAATAAGTTTTGAAAAAATGGAGGCTAAATGTACGCTACTCTATTCATTTTTTTTTTTTTTGGGG